CATCCATCCATCCATCCATCCATTCATCCATCGCACCATTAATCCATCCATCCATCCATCCATCCATCCATCCATCCATCCATCCATCCATCCATCCATCCACATTCCATTACATGATTTGTACAGGGTCTGAATGGCCTGTGGACCCCCTTCAAACAAACTGCATTAACAAACTGAGGCCTGAGAAGTACAAAAAAAGGAATACTCTCATCACAGTTTCAGCACAGACTAAGGAGTCTGGGACAAACTATCTGGGGCCAGTTGCCTTCTTATACAGGTTGAAGTGTATTCAACTCTTTCTGAACTTGCTCAACAGAGCGTGAGGTCAGACGTCAGGAGGAAGTTCCACTTCTACTTCAGTAACTCTTTTAATCAAACATTCTGCACTGTTCCAGTTTCTGTTTGTGCTTTACTCTCATCTTTTCAGTGTCACTTTGTTGTTAAGTTTTCATCATACACCATTGTTGGAAAAAATATATATTGAAATGTATTTATGCTCAGAAATCTGTGTAATCAGTTGAAAAAAAAACTCACAAACATCTCATCTAAAACTGACTTGTTCTCAGGTCAACACCTCAGTGTATTGTGATTACTGTGATTATTCAAGCCATAGGTTTCCAAAGAGAACTGATATGCACCTGTGACTGGCTTGTTGAGGGCTGATCCTGGATCTTTGAAGAATGGGTTTGGCTCACAGTCAGGCATAGTTCTCCACCAGGGAGAGCAACTTTATGAACTTTTCTCTTCAAAACTCTTTCTTGGACTATAAAAAAGGAGATGCAAGTCATAAAAAAATCCATTTGCAGGGTTTTTAAAACTGCAAATGTGATTTTCTGCTTACCTTGTTTGTCCTTGAAACTGACTTTGTAAATGTTGCCTCCTACTTTTTCAATCGTGGCACAGTTCCCTCCTCCAGAGTCTCTTCTTTGCTGAAAGTGTCTCCTGATCTTGTCCTTCTCCCTGTCGGTCAGCTCTGTGGCCTCAAAAAACAAGAAATGCTGATATTCATCCATTGTGGCAAAAACTCTGAACTGATACGGGGAGTGCTCTTGTTCCTTGTTACCATGTGCTGTGAAGTCTTAGTTTCTCTTTCCTATATATGTGTTCTCAGGATTACACACCACTGGACACACAGCTACAAATAATAAATGAAGTTTCAGGGCACATACCCCCGCTTGTTTTTGTTGTGACATTACCATGGGCKTATTGCGCGAAACAATAAGGGATTAAGCCACGATTTTGGTGTAAACCTGAATTAATTAAGCTTTGAATTGGTTGCACAGGAAAGAAAGAACTTATGTTAAGTGCTCTGAATCTAGCCTGGCCCAGACCAGGTTTAAAGTGGAGCTTATTTAATTTGTTAATMTTTCTGTGCAGTACACTGAAAGAAAAACAAAACGTATTTAATATTTTACACACACTTTTTTAAAACGTTCCTTATGTTGTACAAAAATGTTTTAAAGTTTCATTCCCTGTCAACTTTTACAAATACAGTATCTAAAACTGAAGATCGTCTCTGAGAACTTTTTAAATAGTTTTGATGCCGCAACCTGACTGAATAAATACTAAAGAAAAACAGGAAGAGAAACTATGAAAAGGCTTGCCATGTGCTGTCCAATTTAAAGATTTGAATTTACTGCTTGTTGGAAATCACTGTGATTTATTGCCATCCCAGATATGAGCTAAATATATCCCTAGCTCAAATGCAGTTTAGCTATGGCGGCCAACCGGCCATCTWGGATTTTTGATTTGGCTTCAGTAATGCCTTCCTCTGCTCTCTTGTTCATTTGATATGGCAAGCTCTAGAGAGTGAGCTCTTCTTATCCACCCATTGTTTACATCTGTGACATTATGGAGAAGCTAAGATGGCATCTGCAGAGGTCAATGTCTCGCAGCTGACAAGACTGTTTAGTTTACATCAAGCCCAACTGGATCATTTTCATTACAATAAATAATATAATTCATAATTAAAGTTAATTTCATTTAACAACTAGAAGCACTCGGAGAGTGCAAACCTCTGCCAAGACCAATTTCCCACATCTTGTAATAAATGCGCAAAAGCAGAGATGGAAACACATTTGCCGAATAAGTTCTGACGTAGCGAACATTTAAGTAGGCAGTATGCATAGGATTTCTTCTTGGTGGAGTCCAATGTGAAAAAAACAAAAGTCAGACTCGTCACCCGATGTTATTCAACGTGAAACTGGTCTCGGATTAAGCTCCTAAGTCAGGGCTATTCAACCAAACTGCTCCGGGGGCCACAGTTACTGCAGGTCAACAGCTTAGGGGCTGGACATTCAGCAATTAAATTTATTATGTAAATAAACCAAGTATTACAAAGTACTGTTACTTTAATAGTTTATTTTGCTGCTTTTAATCATGATCACAACACACAGAACCCTATAAATGTAGTGATAAATAATCAATATCAAAAACAAAAAGAACACATAATACCCCCTATTTGACACAAATATTATTTTAATATCTCTGACTTGCCAAATTTTTAAACCAA